AGTATATCCGACCTACAAATAGATATGTACATCTGACCTCGCTCCATGCACATGACTAGAACTCAATCATGCCTGTAGGTCGGATTAAAAAAATAAAATGTGTAACCGACCTACAGCTGTCGTAGGTCGGATATAGCAATAGGTCAGAAAGTTAGTAGGTCGGAAGTTCAGTATAGAGGATGTTGCGTATAGACGATGCAACATTACCACATACAGAGCGTCCCATATGATATTAGATTATCTCCAATCTTTAACACCAAAATAAACCCTCAATACTCGAAAAACTTATCATTTTCCGCAAGAAAATTCTTATATAAGCCTTATATTATTTTTCTAAATGATTCATTCTAATTAAATTTTCTAATTAGTCCCGAAAATCGTAATTTAGACTCTTTCTCGGTCTAGTATGATGTGGGACACCCTGAATATTGACCTAGGATAACATCCGTCCCACGATACTGCGGATCTACCCTCACGTGGTTTTTCCTATGGTTCATGAACTGGTCAATTGATAAAAAAAGACCCTATCTAGTATCTATAACTGTCGGTTGGACACTCCTGTAGATATGATATAGTTCATTGCTAAAAATACACATACAAGTTATAATGTTACAATATGTATATTGTTTACATTTTTATGCAATTATAGCAATTAGGTGGAAAATAGCTATTTGCTCTTTAGCTATTTGCTGATTAGCTATTAGATTTGCTGTTTTGGGTTTTATCCCCACCTAATTAATATTAAGACGTTTACAGTATGATGAATATTACTAGGTTTTGAAAGTTTACTTTAAGTCAGGGATGACGTTAAATTTAGAGAGACCGAGGTGCAGCATAACAAAATAATGGATTTTTCAGTATTAAGTTTAATACGTTAGTACGTTTAACAGATTTGATGCAGACCTTTTGTTGGTCGGATGCACTCCACATGTAGGATTTGTAGGCTGCATGAACAACCATAGTAGGTTGGATGTACAACTTAAAAACTTATGTTATAGTTTAGATCTAGACAGCTTAAACCAACCTAACCCCGCATATTGGCTATTACTTTATCAATAGATCCTGATCAATGAACTGTAAATCTGGGTTTAGTTTTTAAAAATTTGTTATCGTTAGTCGAAATATATCTTTTTGATAAATGTGGCCGCAGCGCTCGGTCCAAAAATCTCAAATATTGGCTACCACTTTGTCAAGTTGATAATGTGGCCACAGCGCTCGGCCGAGGGAGGGAACCCCCGGACGTCATGAGCCTCTGCTATGCAGACACGAGCCTCCCAGATTTGTTAGGCAGACCGAGCCTCCGCTATACAGAATAGTTTCCTTTAAACTATTGGTTGTTACATTTATTAAAGAATTTATTGTATTTTTTTTCGATAAAGTGACATGAACAATTTATCAAAGTTCAAAAGTATTTTTAACCAATTATTATAAAAAGTGACTAAATCTAGTAAACAGGCGCGTAGTGGAGGGGGGGGGCGGTACCCCTGTGCCCCCCTAGAGCCAGATGCAGACTAAGTTATTAAACAGTTAACTTACATAACTTACGCGCGCCAAAAGTGCACCCCCCCCCCCTCCTAGGCTAAACCTGCACTACGCGCCTGTCAGTAAAGTGGTTTATAAAACTTAAAACATTGTAACGCAAAAAGGAAAACATTTAGAGAAAAATTCTGAAAATAATATATTTGACATTTTAAAATCTTTGATTTTTTAAAATTTTTACCATATTATGATAATAAAAAAATTGACATTGACAAATAATCTGAAATCTAGCAAGTATGGGAGGCTCGTACGTCTGAATGACGGAGGCTCATGGCGACCTGGGGTCCCTTACCTCCTCGGCCCCCTTCAAAAAGTGTGCATCCGACCTACAAAATATGTGCATCCGACCTATGAAATATGTGCCAGTGCATCCGACCTATACATAAAGTGTTGATCCAACCTACAAACTGGCATTCAACCTACAAAAGTTGTTCATCCGACCTGAAAAAGTGTGCATCCGACCTACAAAATGTGTGTATCCGGTCCAAAAGGTGTGTATCCGACCTTCAAAAGTTGTGTGCATTCGAGTTCGATTTTCAAAAGTTGTGCATCCAACCTACAAAAGTTGTGCATCCAACCTACAAAATTTGTGCATCCAACCTACAAAAGTTGTGCATCCAACCTACAAAAGTTGTGCATCCAACCTACAAAAGTTGTGCATCCAACCTACAAAAGTTGTGCATCCAACCTACAAAAGTATGTGCATCCGACCTACATTAATTTGTGTGCAACCAGAACATCGATCCTTATGGTATAGCACTGTCGCTTAACATTGTAATTTGCAAAAAAAATTGAAAATATGATATTCCCATTTGTTAAAAAATCTTTATTAACAAGCCTCAAAGTTATAGTTTAAAAAGTAGATTTTATGGTGGATTTTAAAGAATTCATTTACGGTGGTGGGTGATTGTAACAGTATAATAAAGAAGTCTTACGATTTGAATTTTGAATTATATCAAGCTGATAAACAGCATGATACACATAAACATAGAACTCAAGAGAAGCTGTCAATTATAAAAAAGCTTCTCTTTGATTACATGTAGACTAGTAATTCGAAAAAAGCTTGTTAACAATCGAAATGTCGTCTTCATTGTATTGATGTAATCGTCTACCTTTGTAATATAATATGTCATAAATAATTCCAATTCTTTTTTCTTTAAACTTTAAAGAATCAAAAGTTTACTTAAATGAAGACGACGTTTTTAATCAGATCTTAACTTACTTATTAAAGATTATATTTAAAGAATAGTTTTTTGTTTTCAAACTCTTTTATTTTTTTAATCTGACCAGTGTGTAAACATGGCCTTAATAAGATAATTTGCCAGTTTAGAGGGTGTCCCAATGAATTCATGAGAAGCGAGTGACGGGACGACATTTTATCTAGATTCCAATTTATTAAGAGCAACAACAAAACTGTTCAAATGTTAGTTAATAGCAAATTTTCATGAACAAAAAGGGACATACATCATTTTTTGGATACACTTTTTATCATATATTAAATATTAGAAATTAAAAATGATTTTCAAATTGTCTCTTGTTTCCTATATTTATTGTACAGGGTGTCCCACGAAACATGGCAGTAAGTGAATGATTTAAGATGTCTTCTTCCATGAATTTATTAAGTTGTTTGATACCAAAGAGAATAATGAAAAATATTGTATGGGAGTCATCTTACAGTAAAGTTGATTTCAAAGTAAAATATATTTGAGTAAAAGATTTTTAAAACAAAATAAACAACAAAAGTCTTCAATATCTAATAAGTATATGGAAGAAGACATTCAAAACTATTAACCAACTGACATGTTTCGTGGGGCACCCCATATGATCAAGCGCAGTATAGTAGGAATTCGCTTTTTCTCAGAGCTATCACACTTTTAAAATTCGAAACTGAAGAGTGAAGAACATAAAAAATTAGTTTGCAGTTTTTTCCTGCTAGTTTTGTTTGAATTAGAGATAAAGTAGTACTTGTAAGGTAATTGGACTGTATGTGTACCATTAACGTATCCAAGAAGCCAAATGTTTTGAATTTACATGACAGTTCAAATAATAGCTGTTAGAAAATATTATAAAACTTTTTATTAAACATTTTTGATAATCAAAGTCTTACAAAATATTATAACAAAATATATTTATAATAAACTAGATGAAGGGCCCGCGGCGTTTCCCGTAGAAAAAAATTGAAACAAAAAATTTCTAATTTTATTTTATTGTTTAAAACAAAACTACATTGACGAGTTAAAAACTATTTTAGAAATGATTTAACGATTTTGCGAAAGGACTTTCTCAGGGGGGAGAGGAGAGGAGCTTCTAAAGGGGGTGGGGAGAGGAGCTTCTAGAGGGGGGGGGTACAGGAGAGGAGCTTCTAGATTGATGAGGGGGAGGGGCAAAACTAGAGCTGTAAATTTTACTTCTTGGATATCAGACATAAGCATAATTAAGATACTTTAAAGGTACACATACAGTTCAATTACCTTGCATGTACTATATACTTTGTCTCTCCCTCAAACAAAACTAGCAGAAAAAAAACATTGTTTCTAAAAAATCGACATTGTATTATACTGTTATGTTGGTAATAATTAGTATTTAAACTAGAGATATTAAAGACAATTTTTTAAATGAAAAACTCAACTTAAACTCGTTATTGGTATATAAAAATAATTGTTTTCCTTCGCTATCCCTGAAAGTGGGCTAAATTTTTTTATGGTCTTAACTCTTGAGTGCTCTTGAGTTTAAGATTTGAAATGTGTGAAAGCTCTGAGTTCTAGGGGGGTGGCTATGCCCCCTGTACAGGTATAGGGGGGCACTGCCCCCCTTGCTCCCCTCCTGTATACGCCGACCCTTGTGGGGTGGGGGGTTGAAGGGAGGTAGAAGGTCCCTTTTTATATATTGAGATATTTCTAAAGCATAACATATAATCAAACATTATTATGTAGATAACTATAACGATACATTTATTAATAATAAGCAACATTTAAACCATCTTGAACAATTTATAAGTATTTAATTATAATAAAACATTATTATGTAGATAACTATAACGATACATTTATTAATAATAAGCAACATTTAAACCATCTTGAACAATTTATAAGTATTTAATTATAATAAAACATTATTATGTAGATATCTTTAACGATACATTTATTTATAATAAAAAACATTTAAACATCTTGAACATTTTATAAACATTTAGTTATACTTAAACATTATGATCTAGATATCTATAACGATACATTTATTTATATATATTAAACAACATTTAAACATCTTGAACAATTTATAAACATTTAATTATTTTAACACGAACTCTTTCAACTTATTAGTGACAACAATGTTTTGGACCTATATTGGGTTTATATACTGCAATGTTAGAAAAAATCCTATAATTTTGCTCTTAATATTGAACTACCTTTGACTGATCAACGATCATGAAATGCAGAGAACTCCGTGTGTTCAGTTCAATATTAAATGGGGTTTAAATTGCTGTAAAACTGAAGTGTACGCTGTTGTACACTGTGAACTCAACACAACTGAGGATACATATTTTCCCGAATATGCTGTGTTCAATGTGGGTTTCAAAAATTTGAATTAAAATAATTTTCTGCGACTTTTAGAAAGTAAATTAATATTTCTTAAAGTAAAATAGTTTACAAACAAAGTGTTTAAAAACTTCAATCGTTTCTTAAGATAATAAGGATAAGCCATTAATTCATAATCACTCAAAGTCTGAAAGGGTACTGCTGTGTATCGGACAAGCACTTTTCAAATGGAAGATCACTTGAATTTAAGCCTACATTGTGTACATTGTGTCCCTAAAATCTTCAAATTTTGTACCTTGTGTACAGGGTGTCCCTAAACTCTTCAAATTGTGTACTTTGTGTACAGAGTGTCCCTAAAATTTTCAAATTGTGTACATTGTGTACCTTGTGTACAGGGTGTCCCTAAAAACTTCAAATTGTGTACATTGAGTACAGGGTGTTCCTAAAATCTTCAAATTGTGTACATTGAGTACAGGGTGTTCCTAAAATCTTCAAATTGTGTACATTGTGTACAGGGTGTCCTTAAAATTATCAACTTGTGTAAATTGTGTACAGGGTGTTCCTAAAATCTTCAAAATCACAGAAAAGTAAAATTATTATTTATAAATAAAAGGGTGTTAATTTAATATATGTCAAATTTCTTTGTCCCTTGAATATAAATTTATGCACTAATACAAATACAAATACAAATACAAAGAAAGTAATTAGTGGAACAAAATTCCTATGTCCAGAGAAGCACCACCTCTTTTCTTGCGTACTATAATTGGAATGTTTTGGTAGTTCAATCTTACAAATTAAATATTTTTTTTAACCAAATAATTTTTTTTGCTTTTAAAATTTTATATTTCGCAAAAGAATTTGATGATTTTTTTTTTGAAGGGGGGGGGCAAAACAATGTTTTCTTAATTTTCTATTAAACATCTCCCGCGTGAATATCTTCAATGATACAGGTATCTGCAGTCTTTGGTCTTCCATCTGAAAATATTTAATTAAAAAAAATTCTTTTAAGATTAAAAAAAATTTTAGCAAACTTCATTGAGGGAACTGCTGGAAATAAAAATGTTCTCAGTTTTCTTCGTTGTCTGTGCGGCATAAATTCACAAATCAATTTTCAGATAAGCAAACTTAATTATAGAGAAATATTTTATTTGGATTTTATCATTTTTTAAAAAGTTTACCCACAAACAATGAGACAATCAAAAAACTGTTAAAGAGCAAATTATTTTAATACGTCAAATTGTGATATTTGCAAGTCATAGGTCTCTGCACACAGTAAATCCCAGATATATGAATACATAGCCTGCATAATGTCGTATTCTCAACAAATTTAAGATAAAATGCCACGGAATCGAGTTTACTATATTAACTGCTGTCCTTCATATTTCAGGACTATTAATATACCTTGAATTAAAAATAAAAAGCAGTTTCTTAAAAGTTAAAGTCATTAAAAAACTTATGACTCTATAATAATATTTGGATATATTTTCATAAATCGTATTCAACCCTTTGGAGCTGCGAATATCTTAGCAGCTTTCTTTTTGTGCAGACCAATGATGAGCATAACTGCTGTCATAAACTAAATTTCAAGACGACATTTCATGCGCTCTTGCTATGTATTCTTATATGTGAGATTGGCTGTATATATAAGGATCGAACCCATAAATTCGCGTGTTTTAGTCTCACTCTCATCTTTTGTGGGAAATCCTGAATATCAAGCAATAACATATTGTTTAAGATAACACGCTGTAGTTAGCGAAAATTACCTATAATTCGTTGTTTAAAATATCTTTCTGGGCCGGAGCTTGAACTAGATCTGCTTGAACCACTCATTGGTCTGCTCAATATAGATCTGCTAGTGCCAGGTCTGCTCGGACTGAATCTGCTAGGACTATATCTGCTTATTTTCTCACTCTGTTCTGCTAAAACATCAAGAGCTCTTCCATCTTCCCAAGGCACACCTGAGAAACAAGATTTTTGCTTTCATACAGGGTTACCCACAAAGAATGAGACTTCAGAGAAGAAAGTAGGGACTTACACTATCTGTTACCTTATACGTATAACTCCCTGCAACTGTAATATAAACAGGTTTCGCTCTTTGACAAATAATAAGAAAAGCCATTTAAAAACTACGTACATTTATCTGTTAAGACAGAAATTTCAATTCAACCTGTAAATCCTCATATTTTGAGAGTTTCAGGTCGTCTTTACAGTCTCATCCTTTGTGGGTAACCCTGCACCTATAGTAACTAGCTTGGGAACCCAGCTTTATCTGAAGTTTCAATATAAAGGTCGACTCAACTGAGAGTTTTACTGCAATGGAGACTGGAGAGTCACTGAATATAAGGCCGGATTTTGGGAAAACAAACGTGGGAGATATTTATATCATTCTGTTCACGACTATATCTATTTGTCACTTTAATGCTTTAGATTAAGAACAAAACTTTAAAGCGTTTAAAGGGACTGTTGGTGTAAATTCAATTGATCTACCATTTGAAGAATTTTTCAATGGGTTCAATACTATTTGACGTAAATCTCAGTATTTGCGAAAATGAATAAATATGCGGGAACAGTTTTAAAGAGCTCCATATAATCATTTAATTAAAAAACTTAATATCTGCAACAGTCCATTATCAGAAAGAGAAGAATATGATATTTGATAAATTCTTTCGATGTATGGCTTATTTAGCTGGGTTAACTGTAGCAATGGACAAGTGGAAGAAAATCAAATTTACTTTTAAAATTAAATGTTTGAAAACAGAGAGATCTTTCTACTCGATAAACAGTCAAAGGTTTCAAGAGAACCGCTGAAAAGTTTGCTTGCATGGCTTGTGGATTTAACGGTTCTGTCAATATTTCAGAAAACTGTGACTTTCTATCACAATAAGACCCCTTTTACATAATTTTATAGCCTTTTATCTTAAATACTTTTTTGTTGACATATAAATTTTCAATAAAAAAGTAAAAAATAAACAAATGTGTAAGTCTAAAGACTGTTGAGTTATAGACGAAAACACGTTTGATTTCAAATAAAGGAAACCGAATGCTTCTCTCTCTCGTTAGTTCAGGGTGATGGGGGTCACTGGAAAATACGCTTACAAGGTTAAAGTGCTACCTTCAAGAAGTCTTCTCTGTGAGTATCTGTGTTTAAGATGACGAGCTATTGGATCAACTGACATACTTCGGTTTAACAGGTTCTCTCTTGACGAAACTATATCCCGACATATAAACACAAACAATACAAATTAAAAGGATTGTTGTTGTAACACCCCCCCCCCCAGGAGGGAGGGAAGGCAACCTCCCCCGCACAGCTTCCGAACCTCATTTTACCTATTTGCGACAGTGCGCGTCCCCATAGGGCTTCCGAACCTCCCCCAAACACTTAAGGATACTAGATTGACTAGCGTGCTTAAATTATCGAATTATTCCCGTTTAAAGTAGAAATTGGCGATTATAAATGGAAGATCCTTCCCGAAAGACAGTTTGGGGGAGGTTCGGAAGCCCTATGGGGACGTGCACTGCCGCAAATAGGTTCAGAAGCTGTGCGGGGGAGGTTGCTTTCCCTCCCTCCCCCAGGCCCCTAACTTTTCAAGGTTAAATTAAGTTATCTGTAGTTTGTTTGTTAATTTCTCCCTGATGCGTAAGGTTTAGGTTGTATAAGCGCACCGCTCGAAGCTCGTCGCGTAGAAAAAGGACGTTTCTTAATGTCGTCTTTCATAAAGTTGAATAAATCTGGATGATCTCCGTTCTAAATAAATTTAGATTATTCAAAAAATGTGTTCGACGATTTAGGTAAGAATTATGTTCATCCTTTATAAAAATGAACGGGAAAAATTGCCAGATTATTGTGGAATAAATGTCGTCTTTGTTTTCTATTTTTCTTTTTAAAAAAACATTTTGTTAAATTTTGATTGATTACCTCTAGCAGAAGACGATCCCGTATTCGTTGTGACATTTCTTCTCTTTTTGCTGCAACCTTAGACATATTAAAAATATTGAAAATATTAAAAATATTAAAAATGTTAAAAATATTAAAAATACTAGATTTACAAGGCGCTTTGCGCCCATCTTCTAGTTCAATTGTGAACATTTTCTCTGTGTAACTATTGTAAAACAAAAAAAAATCGAGGATTTTATTTAAAAAATTTGTGGATTTTCAAACTTTAATAAAAATCGGATTTTGTTGGAGGCAAACTTTTACAATTGTGAATTGTGATCATCTATAAACCTTCCCTGGCCGGGGGCATATAGTCCCACACAAAATTTGGGCCCGATCGGTTTAGCTGTTTTGACGTTTATTGGATACAAACAAACAGGCTATGCAAAGTATATATAGATTAAGAATATTAGAATTATTAAGAAAATTTAACATAAGGCTTTCTCTCCTAAATCGAAGATACAGGGTGTCCCACGAAACATGACAATAGGAAGACGACTTGAAAGTCGTCTTTGGTATTTGAATTCATTTGTGACATTTAGTCTTCTATCTACTTTAACATGTATGATTCTTGAAACAATTATCACATAATTCTCCTAGCCCTGGCATTTCCAAAAAGTGGTCTGCGTTTTTTGTGCTTTCAATATTACCTGAGATATAAAGAGTTTGGTTTAGATTTCAATTTTGTTAAATAAAAGCAAAATTGTCGAAATCTGAACGAAATTCTTCATATCTCGGGCAATATTGAAAGCACAAAAAAGGCAGACCACATTTTGGAAATGGCAGGACAAGGGAAATTTTGTGATTATTATCTCTAGAAATTTACTTCTAAAATTAGGTTGACAAATAAACGCATCAAATTATATCAAAAATCAAGACGACATTCAAGTCGTCCTGCATACTGTCATGTTTCGTGGGACACCCTGTACATTTAAAGTTGGTAATTTTAAGACTTTTCTTCAATATTGACATTGCACAAGGAAGATATCTTCGTTTTTTGTTAAATAAGCAAATGTATGGAGAATACAATTTAGAATTAGGAAATACATCAAACATTTTAGCGGAGTCTTTAAGAGTAAAAACACATTGAGTAAACGGTCCTAAACCGATACACATCTCTACAGTTGTCAGATGTATCACCCTCCCCTATTCTAACGATCACCCGGCCCCCCCCCTCATGAGAACGGCAATTTTTATCACCTGTTTTATATCTCGATGTGAATTATTAATCAAGTTTTTGTCGTGAACCTGAAATAAATTATTTTTTAGTATTTTATACATTTCTACTCTTTCCCTTTATATTTTTAGAAAAATGTCCTTCATTTTGATTAACTTAGTAAATTTTATGTTTTACATATGGGACACCCCAATGTAACAAATATTTAGAAAATCCTCTGCAAAATATTTTGGGACACCCTTACCTGATATTTTTAGGGTTACTTTGTATCTGAAACTTTGGGACACTCTATTAGTTGTTATATTTGGACACCCTTATCTTGGGACACCCGGTATATCTGAATATATCTTAAGACACCCTATATGCCTGATTATATCGTGAGACACCCTGTATACCTGATAATATCCTGGGACACCCTGTATATCTGATAATATTAGGGGACAACCTGTTCCCTGATAATATCCTGGGACACCCTGTATACCTGATAATATCTTGGCACACCCTGTATATCTGATAATATCCTGAGACACCCTGTATACCTGATAATATCCTGGGACACCCTGTATACCTGATAAAATCTTGGGACACCCTGTTTACCTGATAATATCTTGAGACACCCTATATACCTGATTATATCGTGAGACACCATTTATACCTGATAATATCCTGGAACGCCCTGTATCCCTGATAATATCTTGGTACACCCTGTAAACCTGATAATATCCTGGGACACCCTGTATATCTGATAATATCCTGGGACACCCTGTATACCTGATAATATCTCTTCATAGGATCAATACTAAGAGCTGAAGTTAAACTGTGCCGGTCAACTTGTGGCATGGATCGTCTGTAGTTCACTAGACAGGGCACACACAAGTTATATCATCTTTAAAAAAAGAAAGGGAAAATTTATATCGAATGCCCCCCCCCCCCCAGCGGAAAGGTACATGTGAGACGGGAGTACAGTACGCCTACGATAAAAAAGGCTGGTCGGTGTTTTAAAAAAAATCTAAAATATGATAATATCCCACGACTTATTTTGCTATTTTAAGGGAGAGATCGGCTATGTAACATATTTGAGCTGAAAGTGCAGTAATGTACAGTGAAACCCTTAATAACGAATACATCGAAAGAATTCATCAAATGTCGTATTCTTCCCTTTCTGATAATGGAATGTTGCAGATATTTAGTTTTTTAATTAAATAATTATATAGAGCTCTTTAAAACTGTTCACGCACATTTGATAAATTCTTCCGATGTATTCGTTATTAAGGGTTTCACTGTAGAGTACAATTTAAAAAAGTTCCTTACTGAAGAATAGTATTTGTTTTCATTTTATTAAAGAAATATTTCTTCTGATGACTGAACCAACTGGTGTTTTTCTCTACAATACTGCATTCTCAGTTAAAATATTTTACATAGCCGGTCTCTTCTTTTAAGATACATATACAAAATTTATACTTTTTAAATCCCTTCAAGAAAAGGCAGAAAGAAATGTGAATACCTATCCTAAAGTTCATGTTTCTAGTAGGGAGAGGGGGAGGGGGGGGGGGCTACAAATTCATACCTTTAAGGTTTTTTTTTGTCTTTGGCCTCTTTACTATTTCTGTCTGTGTAGATGTTTAAATATTAAGATCTTAAGATACAAATTTTATACAGTGATAACCAGAAAACAATGGCAGAGGAAGACGACAATATAACAAGTGTATTTTAAGTTGTTAACAAACAAATAGTTTTAGTAGACACTTATTAAATCACCATTTCAGTGAGATGGGTCTGTTTCACCTGCACAATTGCTGTGTCTCATGCTACTGGACTTTTCAAAGTTATAATTTGATTCTAAAAGTCGTCTTCCTATTTCAGAGTTTTCTGGTTATCACTGTATCATGTTATCAAAACTCTTTTTTGAAGATGAAAGTGAGCTTAAGATTTAAAAAAGTATATTAAGATTTTTATTTGGTTCTTTAAGATACACAAATTCAAGGGAAGTTAATGTTATTAATTTTGATAATATTCAATCATATTTAATCTTTTCTAGTTTTAATAAATCAAATTTAATAAATTAAAAAAGCTATCTTTTTAACCCCCCCCCCCGCACCCAATTAAAAATAAAGATGATATTCATGTTTTCCTAGCCAAATGATAATCTGAGAAACTGTCCTGAAATATATATTCGAACTTTATTTTAAAATCTATTAAAGGATCTACTGAAGAATTTTCATGCGACTTTCCAACTTAAAAACATTATAACTTTTCTTTGTGTAAGATGAAAATATTCCAATCTAGAATCTGTAATATTCCAATCTAGAATCTGTAATATTCCAATCTAGAATCTGTAATATTTCAATCTAAAATCTGTAATATCCCAATCTAGAATATGTAATATTCCAATCTAGAATCTGTAATATATTCCAATCTAGAATCTCTGTAATATTCCAATCCAGAATCTGTAATATTCCAATCTAGAATCTGAATCTAGAATCTGTAATATTCAAATCTAGAATCTGTAATATTCCAATCTAGAATCTGTAATATTCCAATCTAGAATTTATCAATTTTAAAACTTTTCTCACCTGAATGTTAACCGTCGAACCTGTCTCTCAACCAGATCAGTTCGCTGAAAAAATATTTGCTTTTATCTTAAAAATTAATATACCGGGCGTCCCACTAAAATTGACAGTTGAGAGATGACTTGAAGGTCGTCGTTAATCTTTGAAATAATTTTCATCATTGATTTTTTTTATCTATTTTTACAATTATGATTCTTGAAACAATAACCACTAACAAAATTCCCCTATTTCTGGCATTTCCAAAAAGTGGTCTGCCATTTCTGTCTTTGAATATTACCGGAGATATTGAAAATTTCGTTCCGAATTTAATTTATTGAATAAAGCAAAAATTGTCGAAATCTGAACGAAATTATTCATATATCCGTCAATTTTGAAAACACGAAAGAAAGACATTTTGGAAATACCATAACTAGAAGTATTTTGCATTTATTAGCTCTAGAATCTAAAAAAAAGTTTAAAGACGACCTTCAAGTTGGGGTGCGGATTATATATCAATTATTTACATGACAATAATTCAACATCAAATTAATGTATAAAATTACATCTGCAAAAGGGAGGAGAGAGGGGGTTGAGCCCAACGGGGAAGGGGGGCCGGGGGTGGATGGTTGAAGCAATAATGCCTTTTCTTTTAATATTAATTGATCATTCAATTCGACGATGCCGTATAAATAGTAATCTTGCGTCTTGAGTCTTAGTTGGGTCCTACTTGGGTCCCACTTGGGTCCCACTAGGGTCCTACTTGGGTCCTACTTGGGTCCTACTTGGGTCCACCATGGGTCCACCTTGGGTCCTACTTGGGTCCACCTTGGGTCACACTTGGGTCCTACTTGCATACACTGTAATAT